TCTATAAGCAGAGTCCTCTGTGGTCATTGGTTGATTGAAACAGCAAGTGTGCTGCCTATATATATAAGTCCTTGGGTAAACCTAGTAGTGCCACCAGCTGGGTTTGCATTTGATGGCAAGGACAGGAAAAGACACATTCTCAGTCCTTGGGGTCCTTGTCATGTGCTCAGATTGGGGTCTGTGGTTGTAGCTCTCAGTAATGTCCCTTTGTGACTTTCCAACTCCTTGAAGAAAATGTAGGGTCAACACTCCAGTATATAGGCACAGGGAAGGACTTCCTCAATAGGACACTTAAAGCTCAGGAAATAATATCAATAATTAATGGGTTGCATCAAATTAAAAGCTTCTGCACAGCAAAGGAAACAAAATGTGAAGAGAGAACCTACAGAACGAGAGAAAATCTGTTAGCTACTCTCTAAAAAATGATTAATATCTAGAAAAACAAAACAAAAAAACCCCAAAAACTTAATACTGAAAAAAAACCCAACTAATAAATGGGTAAATGAATTAAACAGATATTTCTCAAAAGAAGAAATACAATGACCAACAAATAAATGAAAAAAAGTTCAATTAGCAATTAGGGAAATGCAAATCCATACTACAATGAGATTTCATCTCCAGTTAAATTAGCAGCCATCAAGCATATGAATGAACACTAATAAATGCTGGAGAGGATGTGGAGAAAAAGGAACACTTCAACACTGTTGGTGGGATTGTAAATTAGTACAATCACTATGGAAGTCAGTATGGAGGTTCATCAAAAAAGTCGACATGAAACCACCAGAGCACCCAGCTACACCATTCCTTGGTATTTATCTTAAAGAATTAAAGTCATCACACTATAGTGATCCATGCATACCCATGTTTATATCAGCACCAGTTATAACAGCCAAACTACGGAACCAGCTCAGGTGTTTTGTCAATGTTATGAATGGACCAAGGAAATGTGCTTATGTGTACACAATGGAGTTTTGCAGCCATAAAGAAGAATGAAATTGTCATTTGCAGGAAAATGGATGAAATTTGAAAACATTATGTTAAACAAAATAAAACTTAGAAAGTCAAAGGTCATATGTTTTTCTCTCATATATGGAAGATAGGAAACAGGAAAAGAAAGGTGGGGACGAAGACTTCATGAAAATAGAAGGGAGACCGGTAGTGTGGAGGAGAGAGACCAGGGAGAAGAAAGAAGGGAGGGAAAGGGGAAGTCCCAGAATGATATTGACCAAAATCTATTGTAATATCATGTGTATGTACCGATATATAACGAGTTCCACTATTATGTATAATGACAATGCATCAATGAATAACATGGGAAAATATGGATAAAAACATAGAAAAAAATTGTAAAAATATTGATAATTTTTTGCTGTGGAAAATTTTAAACATGAAAGTAGAGTAAGATAATGACTCCATTTCCCCCCCCTCATGCTGATTCAGCAATTACACCCTATAAACAATCTGGCTTCATTTCTATGTCTGCCCACCTACCCATTTTTTAAAGTATGGTTCTTATGTAATCATCATTCATACCAAATTAACAGTCTCTTAACATAATCAAATATCTAGTCAGTGTTCAAATTTCCTTGATTGTCCTGTGATGGTTTCTATCAGACTGTTCAGTGTGGTCCATACATTGAAATCAGTTGATGTGTCCCTTAAGTTTCTTTAATGAAAAGGTTTCTTTTCCAACTTTCCCTTTTTTCCTCCAAAGTTCTAAACGGGATCATTTGCCCATAGTTACCACTATCTAGATTTCACTGTTTGAATCTTATATTGTTTAGCATATTCTTCTGTCCCAGGTATTTGGTGGTTAGATTTAGTGAGTCGATCAGAATCAGGTTTGTTATTTTTGGCAAGAATACATACTGATGATTGTCCTTTTGTTTTTAATCTACAGTCACCAGATTTTCCTCCCCCACTTACATGACATTCATTTACAGAATGGTTTTCCTGAATGCCTAAAGATAGGAAGTATCCACACACACAATTGGTCCAAAGGGATTTTCAGAAAATGATTGTATTAGTTTTCTATTGCTGCTCTAATAAATTAGCACCCGCTTAGTGACTTAAAACACATTTAATATTGTGCAGTTCTGTAGGTCAGAAGTTTAAAAGATCTACATTCCTTTCTGGAGGCTCCAGGGGAGAATCCATTCCCTGGTCTATTCCTGCTTTTAGAGGACACCCATATCCTTTGGCTCAAGGTACCCTTCTTTCTTCCTTTAAAGCCAGCGACTGCATCTCTCTGACCCATCTTATCTCCCTGTGACAGCAGCTGGGAAAGTTCTTTGCTTTTCAGGAGTCATGATTATACTGGATCCACCTAGTTAATGGACACTAGTTGCCCTTTTCATCCCTGTTGACCTTAATCACATCTGCAAAGTTTCTTTTGCTGGGGAAAGTAATATATATTCACAGGTTCCAGGGATTAGGACATGGACATCTTTGAGCAGGGGCCATTATTCTTCCTACCACAATGATCATCCATCTTTTAAAATTCATACCATTGTAAACCTGAAGGTTTTGTGGTCTGTTATCAATGATCTATTGTGATATCATGATGTCTTGAGTTAAGAGATAGAGTAGGGCAGGTTATGGAAGAACTGTAATTATGACATCATCATAGTTTTGCTGGTTGCAGTGGACTGTTTGCATGGTTTGTGGTGATTTTTACTTTTGTGGGTGGCAGCATTTTGGTGATTATCCCTATGTGGCCATATCACTTACCTTTAGAAATGCTTCTTTACAACCTGGAGAAGCTCAGGTCATTGAGCTTCACAATGACCCACTCAGAGTCTCCATGATCAAGGTCTTCAGTGTCTTTGGATTAGGGAATGAAATTTTATTACAACATTTAAACATGTTGAGGAGATGCTGAAGTCCTGGAGATATTATTTGATTGGAGCAGCAGCAGTTTTAGTCTTCTTTCTCTTGTGCTTTAGAGAGATGGCCTTTAGGTAGTTAGACAATAAGTTTGAGAGAAAAGAATAATGTAGCTATTTTTCATTCATAATGTCTCTACTAGATAAAACAACTTGGGACTTTCAACCTAATTGAAAGCACTAGACGAATCTCCTCTTATTAAATTGTTTTACCTTTTAATTCACATTGACACTTTACCTTCAGTCCTATGTATAGATTATCCTGCGGATGCATTTGGAACTTTCCTGTAGCATCCGGCATCCTATAACAGTATTTGGTTGATGATAGATTTCTCTTGGAGGCCATCCAAGAGGTTGTTACTAAAGACCAAAGGAATCTCATTATAAAGTGATTTTGCTATAAAGTGGTCCCTTGGAATGGTCCCTAGAGATAGCAGGTCATTTATAGTTAAAAAAAAAAAAAAAATACACAGTGTCAAAAAATGTCACTAAGGGGTCCTTACCTCACACCTTTAGTTAAAATAAGTTCCAGATGAATCAAAGAGCTAAGTGTAATGGTTCAATTCCATAAAAAGCCTTTGAAAAAATATAAGTAGATGTTAATGTGATCTTGAATAGGAAGACCTTTGTGATTTCTGCTTTTGTAGATGTACCTTTATGTGAAAGTCATTTAAAAAGCCCGTAAACAAATGAAGCCACACTGGCATAATCTGACTTCATTTGGCATATTGTTTGGGTGAAAAGAGTCAGCTTTAGAGGGTTCTTTCCAATGTACCTGGAAAAAAGACTGTGGTGACTGCCTCGTTTATTTAAAAAAAAAAAATCAAAATTTAAAGAAATTATCTTGAATAACTTCCTCACTTTTCTGTTTAAATATTCAAAAACCAGAAAAATAATACATTTTTATGTTTTAAAACAGAAGTGCAATTCTACTATACTTTGTTTTATATTCTGCTTTTATACTTAATAACATGAACTTCCGTATTAAAGAATGCAGAAATCTCAGTTTTGAGGTGAAATTGCCAATCTCAGGCTGAGGCCCAGTATAGGGAAGAGCACCAAGCCTTCCCTGCTGAGCAGAAGCTCAGCTGGGGGTCACTCCACTTCAGAGGAGTTGAAGAGGTGCTGCCCCCTAGCTGGGGTGTCAAGGAAGACTGTTCCCTGTGAAGTATCTCAGTGGAGGTACTGGGAGGTATTAGAAACACCAAGGAGGGCGTGTACTGCTGTCTACTAGCTACTGGGCACTGAAGAAGCTGAACATAGAAGCTGTAAACACTGATGGGTCCTGTCAAGAGAGAAAGCTCGGGGGCTGGGGTGTGGCCCAGCGAGAGCACAGGCTTAGCTTGGGGTTTTAGCCTCAGCAATCACCACCTTGGAGAGATAGCAGGTGGTGGTGGTGGTGGAGGTGGTGGTAGAGAGGGGTGGTGGGGAGGGAGGCCCACCCTCGGACACACCGGGCCAGGAAACAAAAACCCTGGCAAAGGAAAAATATATTTGAGATCCACGTAAGTATTCAGAGAACTCAGGAAAGGTGATTGTGGAGCTGAGAGACAAAGAATTTACATCCAGCTTCCTGTTTAGATATCTTTAGGGAAATACTTCAGGGAAGATCATTGTAAATACATCATTGCATATTATCTGAATGTTATATGTATTATATACATTCCATAGACTTATGATTGATAAAGGGGCACAGTCTAATCTCAAGATGGATTTTGATCCGTAAATTGAACTTATCCTCCAATTACATAGTACTTCAGAGCTTCTAGTTCTTCACACTTCAGTTAGCCTTAGGTAACATTGTTCTTCTTAATTCTTACAAATCTGATAAATTTTAAAAAAACTATTTTTTTTGTACTTTAAAAAAATTAGCAGTGGTGTGAAAGCTTTTTTGTGTGTTCTAAAATTCTTGTGTATTTCCTATCTATATCCTTTGCTTATTTTGAAAATCATTTTAGTATAAGCTGTGTTATACTTAACTTTTTGTTTCTATGTTAATTATTATATCCCTTGTCTCATATATTGAGTTGTGTTATATGCCTGAGTGTACTTATGGACTTTAAATTGCTTTCCTTTGATTTTTAGAGAGTTTAATTATTTTTCTCTTTGTTTCAGAACAGGATGCGGGCCTTGATGCGCTTTCCTCTATCATAAGTCGCCAAAAACAAATGGGTCAGGAAATTGGGAATGAATTGGATGAACAAAATGGTAAGGACTAGTTTGAGATTGATCATATTTGCATTTGTTATAAATACTATAGGCTTGATTTGTTGAAGGTTTCAAAAATATATAACAGGTAAAGTGGCTTAATGTCAATAGATTGTTAAGGCTTAATTCAATTGAGGGTGATTTGTGGCTGATTTTGACTGTAATTATAAAGTCCTGTGTAAGGAATTTGATTTTAAAAAATTCCCATTTCTCAATAATTATTTTACAAATTATTATTATTTTTTTGTGGGCAGGGTTACTGGAAATTTAACCGAAGGTCAATTTTCCACTGAGCTACATTTCCAGCTCTTTTTTATTTTGAGACAGCATCTCACTAATTGCTTAGGACCTTATCAAGTTGCTGAGGCTGGCCTTTAACTAGTGATCCTCCCATCTCAGCCTCCCAAGCTACTGGGATTACAGGCATGCACCATGTGCCTGGCTCAGTAGCTGCTTTTAAAAATATTTGTTTTATGATCATTTGTCCCAAGAGCTTTTCTTTCATGTAGAAATGTTATGAAATTACTCGGTGCTTGACACACTCTGATTCAAGACATAATTAGGCATGAATGGGCCTCCTATTATCTACACACCCAGTGGAGTTTGGGCTTCTTTGACATAAATACCAGGTTGCAGGGCAAAAACAAAACAAAACAAACAAAAAAAACTGTTTAAGGATCTTTGTTCAGGACTTGATTTGACACATGAGATTTGAGAAAGATTAACTTGAAAACCACAACAGACTGGACTGGGAGAGACAGAGCTTTGAAACATGGATGGTACCTGAAAGACTCTTGCTTGGACTGTGTAGTGGGAAGGGATATTATGGTTTTGTTGTAAGCTGTCTCTCAAAAGCTCCTGGGTTAATGCAGGAATGATTAGAGGTGAAATGATTGGATTTTGAGAGCTGTAACCGACTCAGTCCATCCTAGTTTGAATGGACTGGGTGGTGTGATGTGGCGGAGGGAGGTGGGTCACTGGAGGCATGAAGGGTTCATCTTCCTGTGGTTGTCCTCCATCCCCCACTTCCTGACCACCATGAGGTAAGCAGTGTTTTTCCACCACACCCTTCTATCATGATGTCCTGCCTCACCTTGGGTTCAGAGCAATGGACTTGGCCTGCCATGGACTCGGCCTGCCATGGACTCAACCTCTAAAACTCTGAGCCAAAAATAAACTTTTTCCTCCTTTAAGTTATTCTGTCAGATATTTGATCACAGTGTCACAAAGCTGACTAAAATGGATGAGAGCCTGAACAGGAGTCTTAGCAGTAGGAATGGAGAAGAAAGGATAGATGCGAGGGGCCGGCAGTGCTTTTACTGGGACTGACAGGGAAATTGAGAGGAGTCACTGTGAGTAAAGAGCATAAGACCAGTTTGAACATGTCCAATCAGAGATGCCAGTAAGAAGGCCAAATGGAAGTGTCGAGTTGACAGTTGGAGATATGGTACCAGAACTCAGGGAGAGGACAGGAAAAGGAAAAGATGGGAGAAACTTAGCATAGGGGTGGTACATGAGAGCATAACAGTGGACGAGCCTGTAGCGAAGCTAGCATTTACAGAAGCCCCCTGCTGTGTGCTAAGCACTGTCATCTGTGTCATTTCATTTAGTCTACACTACATCACGAAGGCAGTATCATCTTTGTTAGAGACAAAACTCAGAGCAGCTGAGAGCATCATAATGCCACATCCTCATAATGTCACATTTATAAGTGACAGGATTGAAATACTAACTCAGGTTTTCTAATTCTATTATGACTGACTTTTCTGTTACACCAGCCTCCTTTCAAGGAAGAAGAAGTAGAGGGAAAAATACAAAGAAAAAGGTTCTGAGGTCTTAGCTTTTGGTAATGGTACCATGATGGAATACCTTCCAAGGAAAGTTACCATCATGTATGAGCCAGCATTGAATTCCTGGCATGGGTGAAGTCTCACTGTGAAGGGAGGGTTGTACTTGTCAAAATTGTATAATGGGCACTTTTTTGTTTTTTTTTTCTTGTTCCTAGGAAGAATGAGTTCATTTGTTCCCAGGTATTATTCCACTTGTCTATCACATCTATTTATTATCTATCACATATAGATTATTAAAACAAATGGAGAAACACTGTATAATCCTGATAGTGGTTTTTCATAGTTTCAGTATAGAGAGGAAAACAATTTTGTCCTTTTCCTGACAGTGCAGTTTATGTATTTGCATATAATTCAGTTGTTGGTGAGTTCCTTGGTTGAAATAGTATTGGCAAGAAAATAAACTTCATAGAAAAATCTGCCAACATGAAGATATAGCTGAGTAGTAAAAGCTCTTGCCTTGCAGTTGTGAGGCCTTGGGTTGGATCCCCAGAAATATTTAAAAAAAAAAAAAAAAAAAGGAAGATCTGCCTATTTGGTGTAAAATTGTTCTTTATCCCAAAGAAATTTAGCCTGTTCAATGGGTCTGACTACAAAAGACTCTGGCCCCAAACTAGTGAAGTATGCCCAGCATGTGATGTGTGGACAGGAAGTTAAGAAAAGGAGGTATATTATTTGATGGGGAACTTTCTAAAAATATGGTGAAATCACATATTTTTCCAGCATAAGCAATCACATCAGCACATCTTTATCTTGTTTTTAGTTTATTGGTTATCATACTTTGCTGCAAATTAGAATCCCCTGGGGAGCTTTTTAAGACTTGAAACACCCGAGCTATAGCTTTGTTAGTTTTCTATTGCTGCTATAACAAAGAGTTAGTGGCTTAAAATAACAGCTCCATCGGTCACAGGCTCTGTCATGGCCTAACTTGGTTAAAACCACGATGTTGGCAAGGCCATGTTCCTTTCTGGAGGCTCTAGGAGAGAATCCATTTCTTGCCTTTTCCAGCTTCTAGAGGCTACCCACATTCCTTGGCTCATGACCTCCTCTTCCATCCTCAAAGCCAACAACAGTAGCTTGAGTTCTTCTCATAATTCGTCACTTCTGCTCATGCTTGCCTCCCTGTTGTGCTTTTAAGAACCCTTCTGATTATGTGGGGCCCACCCAGTGTAATTTCTCCACTCACAGGTCATTTGATTAGCCGCCTTAATTCTACCTGCAGTCTGGATGCCACGTTGCCATGTGATCTCACATAATCACAGGTTTCAAGGACAAAGACATGTGCATCTTTGGGGAGCCATTATTCTGTCTCCCATAGTACTTAATACCAAGTAAATTAGAATCTTCAGGACCGGGGCCCAAGCAGCAGTACTTTTTAAAGCTCCTCAGATTGATTTCAATATGCTGCGAAGCTGGAGAACCAGTCCTTATTGAATATGCCGAGAATAGTTCTAGCCCTGTCTTCCTCTGCGTCTCCCTGATCCGCATCTTCATTTGAGACCCGAGTGGGTATGTGTGTACATAGACAAACATGAGGTATTTTTCCCTTAGCTGCCAACATAAGCTGGGTTTTCTCTGTGGTGGCCTCCCAAGGAGACGACAGTTAAGCTAGTGGTTTTCTAATGTGCACATTTTCTTCTCAGAGATAGGGCAGAGTCAGCCATTTTCTCTCACAGGAACTGAGAGAAAGACTCTCTGAGGATAAAAAATTATATTCCTGCCAGGACAACAGTCAGCCTCCATTCGTTTTGTTAAAGTGAACAAAGGCCGTTATATCCATAGGTGGTAAGTGTAGAATTGCAGCCCCATCTGGATCTTTATTGTGATCTGAGTGTGTCATAAGTCAGGGGTACTGGAAAAAGATACCACTTTTGTTGTAAATATCTCCATATGATTTACTGAACTACTGAATTATTCTTTTGGTTCTCATTAAATGAGAGAAACAATAGGCCGGGATAATGGCCAGCCAGGCCATTTTGGAATCAAGTATCAAAACCTTACTAACAAAATCATTGTACTTAGAACATAACCACAAAACCAAAGGGTCGAATTAGCTTCAATTTAGAAATTCTGTTTTCAGTCTTCTCATAGAGAGTTAAAGAGAGCCTGACCCACACCAGTCATTACCCTGTTCATATGCCAGTGACCGGGCCTAATGAGGAGAGGATTAGCAGTGAAGCGAAAATCCCGGGGCTGGGACACCCAAACCAATGTACACTGGCCAAGGAGGAATGGCAGGAGGGAAGGGCATTGAGCCAGTGAGATCCCCCTCATGGAACCATCGAGTTTGTGCGCTTCAGCTCAAGGTGAACTGTGAGAATTGGTGGGCACAAGGGGTTGTGACAGACCACCCAGAGGCTGTTCCCAAACCAATAGCTATAGTGCTGGTTTATTGAGAAATTCTTTACGGTTCATGCTCAAAAAGACAGACTTTTTAAAAACATGAAAGCAGGAAAATGAATGGGGTTGACTTGACCAAAGTCGATGCTCTGAGACCTAGTTTTGGCATTGGCCCAACCTCAACAGCAGCACCACACAGAACTGTAGAGGCACGGTTCTGAGGGTGAGATGGCACAGAGAGCAAGTCTTTCCTAGCATGTGAGGGTCTTCATTATTCTCTCAGCTGCTCGGATATCTCCAGTTGGCCGGTCCTTTTGATGTTTCTCTGCTAGTCTGTGATCATGTCCTTGCTTTCTGCAAGAATAAGATGTCTTCAAGAGTCCGTGGCTCCCTTTACAAGGAAATGGTGTGTAGAACCAGAATTTCTGTGCAGACTGGCCCATTGCCACAGGGGTGTCCTTGCCTTTCAAGCTCTTTGTCATTATATCATCATGATTTTTTTTTTTTTTAGTACTGGAAATTGAACCTAAAGTGCTTTACCACTGAGCTATGTCCCCACCCGCCTTTTTAAAAAATTTTGAGACTGGGTCTTGCTAAGTTCTTCAGGCTGGACTTGAACTTGCAGTCCTCCTGCCTCTGCTTTCTAAGTCCCTGGGATTACAGGCATGTGCCACCATACCCGGCTTGTGTGTGTGTGTGTGTGTGTGTGTGTGTGAGAGAGAGAGAGACAGACAGACAAACACACACTTAGACACTGGCTCTCATTGTGTTGCCTAGGCTAACTTCAAACATACAAGCAGTCCTCCTGCCTCA